AGACACGGCTCAGGTCTCCGACGGAGACGTTGCCCAGGGCTTGTGCTGCACACGGACCCCGTGTCCGGGGAATCCACAGCCTCACCCCGGGACGTACGTCCTGCAAAAACCAGGGAGAAAATGGGGAGAAGCCGGCAGAGCCCAACAAAAGCTCGAGGAAAGCCCTCTCCACCGCCCTGCTGTCAGCAGCTTTTCCCTCCAGGCTCGGTATCACGATGGAAAGCATCAGGAAACACAAAACGCATCACACGGAAAGCATCTCCTTGGGTCACGGCCGAGTCGTTCCTCACGTAAGGGCTTCTCTCCCTAACCACGGTAAGGCTTGAACTCGCAAGGATGCTGAAAGAGTATGACAGTAAGCAGGTCTGCAGAAAGTGCACAAAACCAGCTGTAAGAGCTGAGAAATAGGAGCTGTAGACCCTGCCTGCTACCAAGCTTCACCACAAAGCGATACAGTTCCAAGGGGATTATCCTCCCCGTTTCCCAGAGCAGCAGTATTTCTCCTCAACTGTGCGTATTTTACATGGAGCTGCAGTTTTCCCTACTGGGATCCAGCCGAAACTGAGCAGAAATTCTGAACCGAGCTAAAACTGCCAATTCACAATCCAGATAAATTCACTTGAAAACTGTGGCAGTCCAAGGTCATGAAACAGCTTACTAGGGAAAGGGGAGGGTGAAATATAAATCATCTGCAAGTGTGCGCTGGATCTTATGGACACAAGCCCCCCTTTATACTCAGAGTATTTCCACTATATAACCATACTGTAGGTATCTAAAATAAAAAAGAAGAGACCTTAAATTTGCTAATATGACTTAATAAATTGTGGTCAAGCTGCTACAAAAAGAACATAATATATTGTATTATATTCAGACATCAGACTGCAGAGTGGGGTACTGGATAACATACTCCCCTTGGAGCTGGCCCATGTACCAGCACAAGTCTGTTTTATTTCAGTTCTTGTCTTAAATTCCTCATGTAAGTTCATGAAAATACGCCTGACAGGGCAATCTCTCAAGAAAAGCACTTCTGTTTTCTCTGCCTGCAGAGATTCCCCTCCCAGGCTTCCCAAGCTGACCACAACCCCCAGATTTTTGCACTATGCTGGAATGCAAGAAGGTAACCCAAGCCACGCAAGCTAGCCCGAAGACAAGGACCCAGTTCTACAAAAACCCAGAGCAGGCTTGGAGAAAATTTAGAGCCTAACGCAGACTGTTTCCACTTAAATCACTAATTAAAATTAGTTGCTAGGGTCAGATTATATATCTGTAAAATTTCTCAGGACGGTGTCTCAACCGCCTGGTGCTTCAAGAGCAAAATCAAACGTCCAACCACACTCAAGGGCCGGCTTTTATTATTTATCAGGAATCTCAATTTCTAAACTCGCCCAGTTTTTACAGGATCTGCCTTTGTGATTTTGGAGCGTTTGACGCCGGTAATTCTGAGATCATTCCCCTGTTGCCTTTTGATGGCATCTGGCTGGACGTGTCCCCAGAGAGGCGGAGAGGGAGGGAAAACCAGGCGGAGGAGCTGCCGTGTCCTGCGCTACCGAAACCCACCATCCCCTGAAAACACCCTGAAGCGCTTCAGACCTAACACAGCGGGCGCGGGCGTGCTTACAGCATCGACCTCTGGCAGCAGAACCAAGAAAATACAGGATACCCGTGCATGCCCTCCCTGCTGAGCTCCAGGTAAAGGAGGTCAAAAAAGAAGTATGTACAGACACAGGAGGAACGAAACGTTTACAGGTTTAAGAATTAGATTTCAGAAATCAGTATCCCCCTTAAACGGAGAGTAATTTTTCTATTTTTTAAACACTACCCCCAAATTTCTGAGGAAATAAAAATCACAGCACCTGTTCACCAGGTCAATTTAGTGCTTCTCTCATGTTAACAATAGGCACAAAAGCATCATGATTCAAGTGCTGTATTCTACTCCTTTTCTTGGAACTAAGTTAAACATACTTTAGCACTTTGTAATTCCACAAACTGTGGAAAATACAAACAATACTTTACATACTCAAAATAAGCACAATTAATACTAAATTATAACTGGCCAATATGTATCACTGCAGAATCCTCCTCAAAGTATCATACCTCCCTTTTTACAAAAAAAAAAAAAAAAAAAAATCAGGTTACTTTTGTATTTACCAACTGTCAGAATATTTGCATTAAGGCAACAAATTATGTATATATTAACAAATTATGCAACTTGTATCTACAAAGACTTAAGGCTCAGATTTTACACAAATGTTTCTACAAAGCAGAAGATGTTTAAATAATATTAAAGGTGGCAAAATCTTTCTTTGAAGAACAGTCTACTATAACATTCTTAACACTTGAACTCACCTTAAATCAGATATTTGATACACCTTTCACACCTCTTTGTTCAAAGATCCAGTGCTCTTCAGTTAGCAGTGGATTGGAGTCTAAATGATTTTACCTTAAATGACTGTACCACGGGGACGTGTACCCTTTTAAAGGTTTAAGCTAAGTCAGCCCCAGTAAAGCTTTTTATGTCAAATAAAAAAAAAAAAAAAAGGATTTCAACTGAACCCTTAAGGAGCATCTGGTCGAGACGTTTCCATAATTACCGAGTTATTTCAGAACTACTTTGAAAATGGCTTACGGGTCCCTGCCTAAATACTCCAAAAAGCAGAAGCGAGCGCGCGGCTCCTCAGACGCCCCTCGCCCAGTTACTCACAGCAACCCCCACGCGTCCGGGGGGCGACGGAGGAGCCCCCGCGCCGAGCCCCTGCCTGCTGCCGGGCGAGCAGCACTGCCCTTCACAGGGCTCACAGGGCCGTTTGGGGTGGGAGGGACCTCAAATCCCCCCCCCAGTGGCACCCCCTGCCCCGGGCAGGGCCCCCTGCCCCCAGCCCAGGGGGCTCCCAGCCCCGTCCAACCTGGCCTTGAACCCTTCCAGGGAGGGGGCAGCCACAGCTGCTCTGGGCACCCTGGGCCAGCACCTCACCATCCTCATCTCCCTTATAGCTTATCTAAACCTACACTCTCTCAGTTCAAAACTATTGTCCCTTGTCCTACAGACCTCGATCATAAGTCTTTCTCCATCTTATAAGCCCCCTATATATGGAAAGACCACAACAAAGTCTCCCTTCTCTTCTCCAGGCTGAACCCCCCCAACTCTTTCAGCCCGGCCCCCCAGGGGAGCTGCTCCAGCCCCCCCAGCATCTCCGTGGCCTCCTCTGGCCCCGCTCGAGCAGCTCCAGGTCCTTCTGCTGTTGGGGGCCCCCGAGCTGGCCCCAGCACTGCAGGGGGGTCTCCCCAGAGCGGAGCAGAGGGGGAGAATCCCCCCCCGGCCCTGCTGCCCCCCCTGCTCTGGCTGCAGCCCAGGGCACGGGTGGGTTCTGGGCTCACGGGCACTTTTCCAGCCACTCATCCCCCCCAGCCCCTCTCCTCGGGGCTGCTCTCCAGCCGCCCCTCGCCCAGCCGGGGTTTGTGCTGGGGATTGCCCCGACCCCCGGGCAGGCCCTTGCCCTTGCCCTTGCCCTTGTTGACCCCCCCCCTCTCCAGCCTGTCCCGGTCCCTCGGGATGCCATCCCTGCCCTCAGCGTGTCCCCAGGGAACTCGCTGAGGGTGCATCCATCCCTCAGTCAAAAAGGAGGAACAAGCCCATTTATATCTCAGCATTTTTAACCCCCCAGTCAGACACGCTTCAAGGGGCTCTGGCTCAATCTTTCTCACTACTGCCTACAAGTAAAAAACTCGCACTTCAAACGAAGCAGAAAGAGCTGCTTACCGTGACCTCGCTGTTCCACTGGCAGCAAAACCTACCAAATCAGCTACCTGGTGTTGGTGAGAACATTTGCAAAGCCAGAGAATTTAAAAAAAAAAAAACCTTAAGTCAGAACTAATTACTTGCACAAAAACCTGTGGTTCAGGTTACTATAGTCACTACTAATTATTTTACTGCCTCAAAGTTCCAGTGTCCCATTGAAGGGACATGAATTAACTTCAAACAAGCAACATCAATAATAATAAAGGAAAAATCAAAGCTGTCAACAATTTAGAAACAAGCTACATACTGAAAAATCGTTTCAGTAAAAACTTATGCAACTGCTCCACATAATCAAAAAGCCCGTTTGTTTATGTACAGTTTTAAGTGGAAAAGCCGAAAAATTCATTGCAATTGCTCCTACAAGAGAAGACAAATGAGATTCCAGACTCCTTATCCAGCCTACTCCAAAACTTTCCCACGACAGTTCAGGTCTGACCTCACCAACTTTAGTTTTCGTCTTCATTACTACCATTATGCATATTTATGAAACCCTGTCGTACAACAGTCAGGATCTAAACTCCGCTGCTCTCCGCGATGCTTTTTGCTATCTCCACGCCACATTTCTCTTTCTTTGCACCACTTACGTTTGCATACGTTAAAGGTCAGTGGTTTAAAGCCAACAGCTTTTAATTTTCATCAGGCAGAAGAAAAAAAGTTTTAAGAAAACATTTTAACCGAGTATGCCAAATCTACAAAATAATGACTATACCAGAAATGTATTTAAAAATGAAATATAATTATTGTCTTTACTTGCTGTTAAAATACCAAGAATGTGCACACTGTCCTTCTCTGAATACAAGCCTTGCATCGTCATGGTATAAACCCATTTTTAATGGAACAAGCAATAAAGAATCATGTCATGGATAGTGAACTAAAAGGCATACAAGTGAACATACTTAGTTTAAAAACACCCTTATGTCAAAAAAAAACAAAACGTCCCATTTTCAGTTTTCAATCCCTGCAGAAGACTACGTTTCAAGAAAGAACAATATTTGACAGAAGCCTTCTAAGCATTTAACTAAAACCAAAAGAAAAATCGAAATAAACAGTAGGAAAATAGAAATAGTACAGAGCTCCAAAAATCTGGCAACTAGCAGCAGAAAATGTAAATATTGCATGGAACTATTTTTAAGTAAGAACATATTTTCCAATGATGAAATGAAAATTGGAATATATCCACACACACACACACACACAAAAGAGAAACTGTTGGAGCCAATTTATTGTTGTGCCATTAGTGTAGAACTTCGAGTGTGTTCAAAAAACATGAGCGACTTGAGTTGTCATCTCTTACATGCACATATGAAACACAATAACATTTGGAAAAGCCCACTCAGCATTACTCTTTACTTCACTACGGTCCAATTTATCATCGTCACATAACAGACATGAGGAAAAATATTTTAAAATTTGAACTTTTAATTACCGGGATAAATACAGTTATATCTGGTTTGGGTGACTGACAAAACTGATCTTTTAAACCTCAAGGAAAGACAGTGACAATATTCCAGATATTAGTATTTAACTTTTTTTTTTTTTTTTTTAGAGTGTTTTCACCATTCTTAAAAGCTGGAATATTTTTCTTGACATACCAATGTATGTATTTAATTGAAGACTAAAATCATAAAACAGGTTAACCAAAGATCTTACTTTCCTGGTTTCAGTCGCGCTCTCTCCTACAGCAGACACAGAGATGGAGACGGAGGAGCAGAGGAAGCGTCAGGAAAAAATTATATGGTGGTTCTTACAAATTTTCTACTCTTTTTCTAGTGCTTGAGCTTTTGCTGTCTGGATTCCCACGAGTCAGCGTGCCCACTGAGATGTGGCTCGGTTAACACTCTCAGCTGCACTCTCTACTGCTATCTGTAACGTTTCAACCATTCCCAGAAGGATTTTGCCTGGAGCTTGATGTTCCACCTTCTCAGACTCCTGCAACCTTTTTCAACATTTTGTTGGTAGGTTCTGGGTTTTCAAACTTAACTGCGGTATTTAACACTCTTTTTTTTTTTTTTTTAAAAAAAAACAAAAACGTTCTTAGAAGATTTTACTAAATCCACTTTATTAACTGATCTTGAGCCTTATTTTTCTTTTTTTGTAGCAGCAGTTTGCAGCATTAAGACCGGCTCCTTCAGTGCTGCTGTTGGCTGAGCAGACTCATAAGCACATAAAACTACAGAAATATCTGTGTCAGTTTGGAGTGCCGTGGATGGGGTAGGTTTTCTTGCCGTTGTGGTGTTTTTTTTGGCTTTTTTTTTTTGCTTTTTAGCGTGTTTCCCATATACTTTTAACCAAAGACCACCAGTGGTTTCACCAAGAGTGGGTGCAGTGGCTGAATGCTGAGCTGGTGTGCCCTCGCGTGGGCGCACGACTTGCTGCAGAATATCCACAAGGCTCTTCAGGGTTTCCTCCTCTTTAGCTGCTCCTGCCCTAGAGGGAGGTCGTTTGAGATGCTGCAGAAGAGTATTAAACAGCTTTTAAGTTGGGCCTTCATGCCAACGTGGGATGTACATTTGCTATGCTCACCTTTCAGTCGGCACCACAAACAGCACAAACTTTAGCTGGAATAATTATAACCTTCATATTTACAGAAAATCCATTCGTTTTGCCATACTAGATGGTAACCCTGCTTTCTTGAATGGATGAATAATGCAGTGAATTCTCCAGCTCTCTCTGTCTCTGCAGTGAAACAGAGTTTCCTTCACGCTGCCCTTGAAAGCCACAGTTTTTATGCCCCAACAAGCCCGGGAAATGTGCATGGGATGCCTTCCTTAAGAGCTTGTTGGTTTGAAAAAGGTCCCACTGCTCAGCACGCAGCTGAACGGCGGGTGGTTGCTGTGCAAGGGAAAAGCTCTTACCAGGGACTGGAGCACCCACTGTGTCTGCAGCCGGAATCTCAGCTGATGGGGATGGATGATGCACCATCATCTGTCAAACACAAAAACTAACTTTAATCACATCAGGACTTGCAGCTCATTGAAGTGATAATATTCATCGCCATATTATCACACTGAATTTTTTAGGTTCAAATTAAGATGAACTACTGTAAAAAAACTGGGGTGGAAGGAGACAACTTTAATCAAAACATTATGCCTAGAGAGTCCTGGAAACTCAAAGATAAGGCTACTATTTTTAGTGAAGAAGCAATCAAATTGGGCCAAGAAAAAAACCCCAGTATATTCGAGAATATATTCTTTACAATACTCACAACTCATAAATTTGCTTCTCCTCTATATGCACTATGTGGGGGAGAACACAGGCTTTTTCAAGTTTAAAAATGTCAAAATCCAACTTGCAAATGAACACTTTCAAATGAACATTTTAATTTACACTTTGCTTTCCTACCTTTTTTCTTGGAGAAAAAAAAAAAACAAAACAAAACAGGTAGATTCTAAATAGCTACCCGGTCTGCATGCTGAAATGCAAGAAATCTACGTACAAACTTCCACACGTGCAAAAGTCTGAATATGAATTAATGTACATTCAGACCTAAAAGCCTCATATAAGGCTGGTGGTCCCACCTGTCCACCGTATATTCTTTAAGCATCAGACTTTGTATTTTTGAACAGCACAGCCCAACTAAGAAGGTACAACTTTGGAAGAGTACCATCTACGAAAACGTACCGTGCACTCTTCAAAATTACTTGCATCTCAGAAGCAGCAAAGTTCCTCCATGCAGAGCTGTTCTAAAATACTGAGCCAAGCTGGTCATCACTAACAACTACAATAAAACGTCATAAAACTCACCGTATGTCACAAACTTTTGAAAAACATGGCACATAATTATGCTTGAAAAACATGAAATCAGAAAACAACTTGTGACTATTATTCCTACATCATCGTTAAAATGCTAGCACTGGAATCATGTGACATACCAAACCTAAGTGACATATTAGAGAAAGTGCCACTTGGCGAAATTAATCCACTTCACTAGGAATACTTAATCATCTTTACGAAAGGTTCCACTTTGCAAATTTTAAAATTAAATTCGTGCAAGTCTTTCCATACTGGGAACCTATACGGACTGCCCTTTGTCTCCCCTTGACATTGCTCCCATAAAAATTAACGGGAAAGCTTCCTACTGGTTTCAAGAGGAGAAGAATTTGGCTTATATACACAGTAGCACTAAAACAGTGAGTAATTAATGAGAAATAAATACAACTGTGTTCCAAAGTCCCCTCATTCAAATTACCTTTGTATGTCTCATATTCCTGAAATTATGCTGCAACGATAAAAGAAAGAAAAATTTTTAGAAACATAATCAGTCACACAGCACAAACACAAACAACGTGATCTCAATTTGATACATAGGCTTGAATTTGCTGTTCTCTGTACTTTATAATCTTCTGCTTTGAATGGAAGTTGCCATGTCATAAGCAGTTCTGGTAAAGGAGAGCTGCACAGTTCTATTGTGAAAGAACAGAAGAGAGTGGTCTCTCTTTTTACAGCTAGGTTTCTTTTTTTTTTTTTGCAGTGAGTCCTCTGAAACTTGTACAGATTTTTTCTGAAACACAGATTCCCTTCCAAAGCTGGCTTTTGCTTCAGAGAATCAGAACCTCTAAAAACAAAGAGAAAAGTAATTATTTTCCCGTGTAGCACCTTAATAAAGATATTATATTAAAGCACCTGATCTAGTGACTCAGTGCAGTCTAACCACTTCCAATTACTGACCTAGAGAATAAGACATCTCCTTTCCCTGTGCCACGTTGCCCTCGTGATCCCCCAGGCATGTATTTGAAAGGGTTCAAGCGTTCACAAAAGTTCAGAGGTTTATTTTGGGGGGATTGACTTCCACCTTACATCATCAGTTCATCCCAACACCGTTAGAGCAAGTTAGAAATAAAGCTAGTCGCTATTTGCCTGTACGACACACTGCATGAGCACAGAAAATCCTACTGGTCCCTCCTGAGCAACACAAAAGAGCAGCTTTGGAAAAAACATATGAAAGGTGATATAAAAATGAGATCTGATCTTCTACTGCTAGATAAAGGAGCTATGCAAGTTTCCACCCCAGCCATTAAATAACTTGCACAGCAGAAGAGGACTGATGAAATACCAGCGTGCGTTTGTACAATGGCTCTGTTACTATCTAGATCATTTAAAAATTGCACTTCAGTAAGTCTCCAAAATTAAAAAGACACACAAAGGGAAAAATGTCAAAAGACGATACTGAACCCTGAAGCTTAATAGTTAGGCTGTGTTGCAGTAACTGTTTAACCTAAAATACTTCAAATTGTTCCCTAATTCTATGTTTTTGAGAGACAGAGAACGTAAAATAATAAAAATTTCATAGTTAAAGCCTTCATGGTTGATCAGGAACCAAAAGCTAGGAAACAAGAGCTGCAGACAAAACTAACTGTTATAAAAATCAAATTAAAATGTTACATAAACACTTATTTGCTAAAAAGGGTGGGTGATTTTTTGCTGAAAAAATGCAAATAAACTTCTGGCTTTCTCCTGTCTTTCGTGAGGCTTCACAATATCTCAACATGTATGTAATAAATAAGATTCTGTAACTTTTCCAGCTAAAACTTTAATTACAGAATAGCATCCACACAAGAAATCATGTTTGGAGCAAGGCTGAAACTATGAAAGAAAATAAATTTGACCTTTGACGACAAAAAGCTTTCCTCACATCGGTTCTCCAACAAGTGAGGTTTTACAGTGACTCTCATGCAGTGCTCTCAATAGCATCAAGTTTTCTAATTTCATAATTCAGATGAACAATCATAATGACTAAAAATTTAACCTGACAACAGGGGGGGGAAATTACAGCTACACTCCTATTCAAACAGTGGGAGAATGTGAAAATCTAAGGGCTCTCAAAAGGTTTACAGAAGGAAAAGTGTATCAATTAACCCGTTTTGCCTGTGGAATTACAAAAAAAAAAAAACATCCCAAACCCACGCTGCAATCCAGAAGATGGAAAGCCTCTCTGGTTCCTACACGGCGATTTGTCATCTCTGGAGGACAGATGTAAATTGGAAAGAGAGGAAGAGAACCAGGGCTGTCAAGAAAAATATTGATTTGTACTCAGCTGTCTTCTTTAAAATCTCCTCCAAGCCTCCCCCGAATAGGAATTCGTGGAGGAGCAGAAGGCCCATCAGCTGTGACTTGACGTCGCATCCTCTTGCCCGCGGGCTCGCCAGAAAGGCCTTCCATCCACGGAAACGGCACTCGCAGCCCACAAAAGATGCCAACGGGCTAAATGCTGTCAGCTGGGAACCCAAAGGCACAGCTATCATATGGACTGAGTTCTGAAATGGGTAAAGAAAAAAAAAAAAAAAAAAAAAAAAAGAGATTTCCCCTCCTCTCTCTCAACAGAAAACATTTATAAATGCTACGCTCAAGTAAACTGCCAGCAGAATAGAAATATTATAAACTTTGGTGGCATCTGCAAATGCCTTCTGCTCTTTCAAATGTTCCTTATGCCTCAGCTAGCAACAGCCCTACAACTTCTACGACGTTGGGAACAGCATACATAAAGGAGGGAAGAGTTCAGGTAATTGATGCCCTTTAACAGGTTTATCCTGCATTGCCTTCTGATACGAATAGTGTCTTAACAGTTTATTCAGGTAGAATTTGGTGGAGACGATTTAAAAGTTACAAGAGGCAAAGCCTAGTATTATTTTTATTTCTGCAAAATTTTCTATCATGGCTGAATATTTAAAATATATATTCCATAAGAAGGTATACAGAAGACTGTGTGAAAAGGCCATAGATTTATTCCAGTTCATTCAATTTCTGAGCAAGAACGTGAAGTTTTTTTGGTCTTCTCTAGCAAGCCATTGCTCAGCAAAGAATCAAAGGGAAAAAAGTGGTTTGTGCAGCATGACTAACAGGAGCCAGGCTTCCTGCAGGCACACGTACAATTAACCGCCAGGCAGAGTCCTCTGTACAAACAGAAATATCAAATCTCTTCTGCGCCTGTTCCTTTGAAAGGTTAAAGGGTGATATGCTATGGAAGAACGTGAGCTCAGACTGGAATAAATTCCCGAGGTTTCCTCGGGCCGGTAACAGCAGCTCCGGGGCTGCCCGTCCTGCTCGCTTGCTGAACTCCAAGTACCACGTCTGACAACATCCTTCTCGGTAAAGTTGTGATTTAAGCAAGAAGAGGAGCCTTGATGTACATTATCATTTCCAGCAACAATAGACGAATGCACTATCACTAACCAAATGCCTGTGGTTTGGGGCGTAAGCAAATACTTCCAGTGAAACAAATGACAAGCTTCGAAACGAGGGAGTGATTTGAAGAAACAGGTAGAAAACACCATGAAGAAAATGAAATTTTAAAGCAGCATCAGTCACGGGAGACGACAACTGTGGGGAGAAGATGGGCCAGTCACTCATCACTTCACGCTCTGCCTCGCTTGGTGGCAGAAAAGCTCAAGCATTCACACCAGATTGCTACTTTAAGCGCTGCAGAAAAGCTATTTCAGCTTGCCACTTCCCTAAATAGGTGAACATTATGTTCCTTTAGGCCCCTCATGATGTGATGGAGTAACAACCCTTAACCTACAGGACATAAATATATTTTTATAAGCACACAGAAACTACGTGGCTCCTAGGCACTTACAACCACCTTCTAAAAAGAAGTATTGCAAAACACTGAAAACAATATATCTGATGCCACTAGCTTGAGTAGTATAATGACAGTACCTTTAAAATTTGTTTTGGTACTCACCATTTTAATTTGGTGAGGAATTGTTTATGTAGCTAAGCAGGTCAGCATCCCATTTGTGAATAATTCTAATGCTTCCTATCTGTTTTTACATGCTCGGCACCACGAATAAAGCACAGCACAAACCATGACGGTTCCTGGGAAGTAAACAGGCATCCGAGTCCAGGACCAGCTACACAATAAATCAGTAGCCGCCTGCAGAAGGGGCCACTGCAGCCCCGGCCCCTTTGTTCGGGCCCTGCACTGCCCTTGGGAAAACTTCAGACTGGTGGGATTTGGGGTGAAAAAAAAAAAGAGGAAAAACCCCACCCCACACACGTCAGCATCCTCTGCCTCAAGCGGGGCTGCTCCGGGCCGTGGTCCCCCCCATCCCAGTTCCCCCCATCCCAGGGCTGGACCCGCACGGCACGGCCAGGCTGACCCACAGAAAAAAATTAATCAAGTCCAGTTAAATGCTGGGGTCCTCTGCTATGACAAGCCAAACACCGTAAAACCAAACCCTTTTTAGGGTGCAGGGTCCAAATACGAAATTACTGCAATCACAATTTGATGGAATTAGGGCAGAGAAACACACAGCTGTAGGCAAGGTGCGTGACCAGCAATAATTAACCACCTCCACCGTACCATCCGTGCCTACTGCCGCTGACAGTGCCCTTCAGAAACACCCTAAACAAACCACCTATAAACCTTCCCAGCCCCCATGTGCTTTTTGCTGTGCTTTTGCAGGGATTTTGGTAAAGGGGTCGAAATAACTCTGCTACTTAGAGGTAGCATGGCAGTGGTCGCCACCTCCCAGCAGTATGTGTTAGGGGTGCAGTGGGCGAGAAGCGGGGGACCCAGCATCACCTTTATCCTGCAGCCACTGCCACGGATAAAACCATCCGGGTTCCAATCATCCAAAGAAATGGGCTGAATTGTGGAGTAGAGGATTGCTGTGGGAGTGCGGAGGGCTCCCTGCACGCACCCACACCTGACCCCTTGGCCACGAGACTGATGGTAGGGTTAGGTGGTTACACCGCGATTTACTTCTCTCTTGATTGTAAGTATGTTAAAAGAATCAAATTATATTGCCCATCATTAGCTACTGCTTTTAAAGTGATTGTTCTGGTTAACATTTCCTTCAGGAAAGAAGAGGGTGAATTAAAGGTGGCTGCAACCCATCTCAAATTGAGACTGATTTACTGTAGCAATAATCCAGCTATTAGCCCTTATCCACAGCCGCTTGCAAAGGAAGATCCTGAAAATATTTTGAACTAACAAGTGGCAGTGAGAAGAGTCTGGGATTGCTTGTTCCGACATTCGCTAGCAATGTTCCACTGGTTAAATAAGAGAACACATCTGAAATGGTTAAATAAGATAATGGTACTGAATGGTTACGTAAGATAATGCATCTGAAATACGATGAATAAATTCCTTACCATTTAAAAATGTCAGAAAAACAGGCTTCACACTGAGTGCCCTGGAGGGTTTTTCTTTACAGACACCACGTATCACCTTTCAGGGAAGGAGCCCATTAGTATGCTCCAGTAAAAAGGTCTCCACTCTTCCTGTGACCTTTGTGAAGAAGCCACAGCAGTCTGTCCAACTTCAACGGCATCTTTCATCACCTGTGGCATGACACAACGGACAGCGATAAGAAAGGACAGATATACAAGGAAATTATGTGTCTCCCTTGGTATGAAGGGGGGAAAAAACCCCCATGACATCAGGAAAATGAGTCGCTACTTGTGCCAGACATGAAATTTCACTATTGCAATGGGAGAGAAGGCATCCAAAAGGTGTTAAAATTAAGCTTTCTACTTGACAGTCTCAGAAAGTTTGGTTTCTATTGCAATGGGAGAATCTATTCCCTATTGCAATGGGAGAATCTATTCCCTATTGCAATGGGAGAATCTATTCCCTATTGCAATGGGAGAGAAGGCATCCAAAAGGTGTTAAAATTAAGCTTTCTACTTGACAGTCTCAGAAAGTTTGGTTCCGAGGAGCGAGCACATCACAAGACGGGCTGTTCTCCAGGCAGTGATGACTGCAGTGGGGTCCTTCGGCAGAGACCGCCGGGCTCACGGTGCCTAAGGAAAAAATGGACTGCGAGCATTTCTATTTAAAGAACAGTGGGAATAAAATCTGGGAGACATTAGCAGCAACTGACAGAAGAAAGGAGTCTGTGGGTACTGGAAAAGATGTAATCTGCACTGAAACCTGGCTGTGCAGGCACAGCGACTGAATGCTCAGCTTCTCCCACTGCGGAGCTATTTCTGGGCTTAGAAAGAAATCCTCTAGAGGGAGTCAGAAAATTGTTTAAAGGATTTTTTTTTTTTTTTCTTTCCCCTTTCAGCCTGATAGTATCAAAAGACCAAGGGACCATGAGCCATTCCACAAAGAAAAATAGTAATTAAAAAACTTTGCTTCATCAAATGAGGAATATTTACAGCACAGCAGAAGCAAAAGGCTCGGAGAGCAAACAAACATTTACACACACAGCGGCACGGGTGCTGGTGCAGCAAACTGCAGACCAAAGGGGAAGCTGCCTCCCCAGGGAACTTCAAAGAAAGACATTTTCACCTGTCAAAGAGATTTTTGGAAATAAAATCCACGCAAGCCAGAAGAGCTTTAGGGATGAAAGGCTTGCGGTGACAGCGCCAGGGTGAGAGGAGCCAGAGCAAAGCGGGGTGTGGGAGGGGAGGGTCAGCCCGCCAAGGTCAGGGCCGCCGCTGAAGATACGGTGTTTCAGAGCTGCCTGCATCAGCACTTCCACGTTCCTGGTTCAGCCACCAGATACAGACGTATAGTAAATATTTCATTAGATAGCAATATGGCCAACACAGCACCGCTGTTTGTTCAGGGAAGTGTTTTAAATAATTTTGAATTGAAAAGTTACTTTAAGCCCTTTAAAAATTACAGCCGATGTAAATCACTGGGGGAAACGCAGTCCCGTTTTTTTCCCCCCAAAGTTATGAACAATTTCATTATATCTAGAATTTATTACCCACCGTTCGACAGGACACTTTTAACCTATTACAAAATTTATGGTTGTGATTTCAATAACACACTGTAGCTGTTTAATTTTATGTATGTGAGTAGTTCCGCAAAAATCAACGGAAATGCATGTGTGAAAAGGGGATTTCTGTTCCAGAAAAATGTTTTAAAATTTAAAAAAAAAAAAAAATCTGAATGAGGATGGAAAGTTGATATTGCAAAAATGGGAAACACATGGGAAAAGGCAAGTTTTCTTTTAGAGCTTCAAACCAAAATTTACTAGAACGTTTCTTTCACTCTGATGTCTGCATTTCAAAACAGAAGGGAAAACAGACTGGCCCAGCTACCAGCCTGCAGCACCCGAGGCCCCACGGTTGCAGGGGTGGGTCCTGGGCTGGCAGCCCTCACGTCCCCGCTGCCAGCACCCGGGGCACCGCTCCCGCAAGCCAGCGCTGCCCCCCCGGGAGGGAAACACCGCCGAGGAGCTGCGACCGAACCGCAATTCCCCCTGGCCGGCAGAGCTGTTCCGAAGGCAGCACCTGGCTGGAACTGCTGAAGTAAGAACCACCTCAAAATAGCGAAAATAGTAACATTTCAAGCCTGAAAGTCAAACAAGACCCTTCGCGCCGTCTAATATAAAATGAGGTGGGAAAGGCAAACCAAAACATGCTTTCAATTTTTGAAGATTTTACTTTTTTCCCCCCAAAAAAGAACATTACTAAAACATGGAGCACATTAACTTTATAAAACAGATGCCTTTAAACAAAGCTTCTATCTAAATATTTCTGCCCATTCCAGTTTAGTCCCTAAACCACATCAGTGAGAACTTGATCCTGAGAGCTTCCTCCACCCGCAAAGCAGTTGGGAGCAAAGATGGCATCCGCTCCAGACAAAAGACTGGACTTTTTACTGCATTCCTCTCAAAATTTTTGTTGAGAGAGTTGGCAGCTCAGCTAATTTAAAAATATTGGCTCATCCCTTTAAAACAAATCTCCCTCAGAGATGAATCAGGGCTGACACCGCTGTCAGGTGGCAGACGGAGTACAGCAGTGCTCCCAGGGGCTGGAGGTGGCGGTGCTCACGCAGTGTTTACAGAATTGGGAAGCAGAAGGAAAAGGCTCCCTTTGGTATTTAACTCTGGGAACGCCACACCAGGGGGCTGCAGGTTGTCCCAACGATTCCACACCCAGACAGAAGCAAGCTGAGGGACTGGACTGCTGCAGTGGGGCTCCCACGCTCTTGGGCCTCACTGCAGGCATCTGGAGAGCCCCCCAAAAACCCCGCAGCCCTTTCCCCTGAACCCATCAACCCCCCCCCCCCAGTCCCAGAAGGGAGGTTTTTTGTGTTGCACAGTTTGCAGGAGCGGCACTGGATTCAGAAATGACTTCCCAGGAACAACCCGTGCATCTCCCTCCACGGCTTTTCAGCCTCTGCCTGGTGAAGGCTCAGCTCGTAGCAGCGACAAGCCAAACGCACTGCCGGGCCCCTCTCCGTGACGGTTCCACACACCCCTTTGCTGCCAGCACTGAGCCCCCTCCACCCAACAAAGATGCCCTTCCTCGTCCCAACAATACTCCTTCTACATGTTACCCTAACTTTTTTTTTTTTTTTTTTTTTTTACTGCGGTACACTTGAAACAATCTCTGGATAGCCCCCTATTCCCTCGAACAAACAAAAAAAACAACAGAAAACCACCATCCATCCCCAAAGTCCCCCCCAAACCAACAAAATCTACACCCACTTTTTACTCGAGCTTCTTATTCCAGCTTCTCGATTTCCCCGTTTAAGGGAAAGAGTATTACGATGCATCATACAAAACACATCCCACCTTTGTAATTCTGTATTATTAGCAAAAGTGAGGGTTTGTCTATGCACAGATTTTGTACCAATAGACCCAACTACACTTGTTTGGAAACAAATACGGTTAATTCATAAAACTTGCTAGTATCAGTGTAATTATATTAGTATAAACTTCTTGATATAGTTCATGAAATCACTTAACTACTATGCTTAAATGCATGCATAATTGTGCTTAAACCAGCTCTAAATTTGACAAACATATGCCTGACATTTTTAAAGTGCTAGTAAAGAGTATGTTCAAATGAACCCCTTAGAGATCTCAAATCTAATTTAGGAATCTGAGCTAACAGGAACACAGAGATGGCATTAAGTTCCAGAAAATATGTTCAGGCCTCAAGCCTAACAATTTGCCTACACTTGAAATTTCTTGCTCCTCTGCTTGCTATTTGGTGTTACAGAGTTTTCGGTGATAAACAGAAGAATCTTTTAGGAAACAACTGGTATTTAGAAGCTCTTAGGAAATAGGTTTACTGGGACACAGCAGGAGTTCACAGGCAGCCAGTCACCCCCAACAGCTCCTGCACCTCTGCCAGACTTTCCACTGGTATGTTCTACCCAACCGTGAGAATTAATTTTCTCTTTTCTCTCCTTGTTACTTGACTATGCTGGTGGCTGCTACTAACGAAGCTGCCAATGTCTCTGAATTCCTAGCCAATCTACACCAAAGGAACAATGCCTCCAAATACACTACTGGAGAGCCTGCTTTGGCCAAAACAGAGATAACAAGTAGAAGAATGAAGTAAAGTTTCCATAAAGTATGACAGAAGAAAGGACAGAAATGACCACTACCCGGCAGGGCTGACAAACCCAAGGTTTTCCTGAAGAGCACGTTGGTTCTACACTCACAAAGTGTGCGCTAGCCTGCGTGTATCTTGTGACCCTTTCCTTCTCAAAAAAACCTGACTTAATACATCCCTGGAGTTAGGAACCTCCCTGTCACCTCCTGGTGGCCAGAGAGGCTGGGAAAAAACATGGGACAAAACCTCCTGAAAGGGAGCTTTGAGACCAACTGCAGAAAGCACAAAGCCGGTGAGGTCCTCCGGTCCTGGCTGGTGTGTGCCGCTCTGGGCTCCCCAGTACAAGACTGATACTGACTTGTCCAAGAGGAAGTCAAGTGCAGGGCCACAAAGATGATGAAGGGATTGGAGCACCTTTCATACAAGGCGAGGCTGAGAGAGCTGCAACTCTTCAGCCTGGAGATGGGGAAATCTTACCAGTGTGTATAAAAACCTGATGGGAGGGAATGAAGACGAGGGAGCCAGACTGTTCTCAGTAGTGCCCAGGGACAAGAGGCAAAGGGCACAAACTTAAAAAAATGGAAGTGTCATCTCAACACAAGAAAACACTTTTTTTTGTTCTTTACTGCAAGGGTGGTCAGAGACACTGCAGCAGGTTGCTCAGAGAGGAGGGATAGTCTCCAAACACGACTTGACATGGTCCTGGACAACCTGCTGTAGTTGACCCTGCTTCACAGCAGGGGCATTGGACTAGTTGATCTCAAAAGGTCCCTCCCAACTTCAAACGATTCTGGGATATGAGTGCCACCAGTGAGTTTTGTGCAAATCAGAAACTCCACTGAGAAAAAAAAAAAATAAACAAAAAAATGTAAAAATCTCAAACCATTATTAAGTTCCTGTGCATTACTCAGACAAAAATAACCCAAAGGGGGACAAACGCCTTCCAGTCAGCAGTGCTGGCTCCATTAGAGAAGCCCCAGATTGCTTTATCTGTCAATACAAAATTGGCTAGCTATGGACTTGCAGATGGAGATGGGGCAGTAGTGAATGCACATAAATACTGTGGAGCCACAAAACAAGATCCGCGACAGAGAAAAGTCATTCTAGACATCCTCAACTTCTCTTATTGCAGACCTACAGCGCTTCCCAGGCAGCGACAGCTGGCTGATCCCCAAACAGGAATTTGTTGCATGAACTTTCTCAACAAAAAAAAAAAAAAGGAAAAAAAAAAAAGCACATTCTTCTACATCAATCCCTTTCTCAGTGTCACTAGTTCTAAATCTATTGCATATCTTTACACAAGCCTGCAGCAGCCAGCTTGAACTCACCAGTGTGAGGAATGCAGTGCAGATGCACATCTCTTCCTCTTTGCTAGTGCCTCTCTACTTTGGGGTGGGGGGAGGAAGCTTATGGTATAAACCAAGAAGAATCTCAAACTGAGCAATCCCTCTGATGAAGTCCCAAATTTCAATCACCCCTGATACAACTGGTACAACACCCAGCAGAGTAATTGCCATACATGTGGCACACCTCCTCCACCACAGTGAACCATGAGGTGGCTTACCAGAACGATGACTACCTGGTTTCCAGATGTCACCAGGCTGTTTGGCTATACCATTCCCTAAAATAGCTTAATCATAATGTACCTATGCACTACAGACTCTGCTTTCTCAACAGGAGCTGAAATGTAAAAGGCTTAATGCAGACACAGACTCAGATGGCTTTCAAATGTGGAGGCACTCTAGGAACTCCTGAAAAGAATTTTTTTTTTTTTTTTTTTTTTTTTTAAACATGGTACCTTCAGGAACGAGGATCTTAAATACCTGGAAGTCTCTGAACACAAATAGCCTACAGAAGAGGCAGCACAGCTAAACAAAAAAATCAACCTGATCAAAGCAAATATTCCAAATTGATTCATTTGGGGGAAAGATTTAAAAATGTGTTTTGTTCTGGTTTCTGTTTTTTTTTGTTTTTTTTTCTGTTTGGTTGGTTGGGGTTTTTTTGTTGTTTTTTGGGTGTGGTTTTTTTTTTGTTTTTGTTTTTGTTTTTTTTTTTTCCAGGTTGTATATTTTCTTTACATACCCTAAAAACCAAAGGTGAAGTATAACTAGTTACATTTTGTTTAAATGCAAAAAAATATTTCCTGCCTGCTGAGATCTTACATTGGATGCTGAGATTTTCTCTCCCGTGGGGTATGTGTAGTTAGAATCTGAGATGGTAGCAAAATTTGCTCTGCAAAGGAAATTGCTTTACTACAGGTGGCTTAAAATTATCTGGTTTCTATTTATGTTCATTAACTCAAATACCTGGGGAGAAGTAATGTCGGCTGAGACTTCAAATCGTTGCCTTTTGAAGCAAGGGCTTCCAAAGCTGACAGCTCCCCTCTCTGGGTTATCCACAGTCTCCCCGCAGAAAAAAAAAAAACTGTAAACCATATTTCTAAAAAGATAAAGAGGATTTATTTTTCATGCTGTTTTTTAGGCATCATGGAAAATATTTTTTAAAAAAATAATACCAGAAACCACTTCTCCCCATTCTGCTATATGCTACAAGCAGGAACAGCAGCTTTTTGAGAAACTTCCATAGAAATAATAGATCATAAAGGAATGAGAGAACTGGAAATAACAGAAACCACGAAGAAAAATATTTTAGAAGGAATAAAAAAGTAAATCAAAAGTTTTCTACTTACCTGATTTCCCAGCCATGAATTCTCATCATTTCCCAACCTCCCTAATTCTAACGTCTGCATCTTAACCAGCTAAAAGCTATTAAATAGTCAGAGAATTAGCTTTGGACCCATGTGTATATTGGAACATCTGAAGGGAAATTAGGCAAATAATAACTTCTTATTCAAAAGGCTAACTCAATTTTAATATTAGAAGAGTACTACTGACTTCCAGTCCCACCAGTTTTCCCAGAATCTCCACCCCATTAAACTTGCTTGGCAAGATACTGACTGACAACACATTTCCCCAATGAAATGCAAGTTAAGAGTCACTCGCTCACTCACCCGCGCTCTTTGGCAGAGTGCTCCTGAGAGCGTTCCTCAGCCTGCTGAGCAATCCAGGAGCTGATTCACGCTTCCTTAAGGTATTACATATGCCTCATCTATACTGGTAACCCCTTTTGGGGACAGGAGGCTGTAAAGTTACATCTGGAGAACTCTTAACGTTCCACAGAGATTGCTCAATCACTCTGTTCCCTCTTTTTGCTCCCATTTGAGTGCTATGGCTAGTCACTCCTGTCAATCTCGAGCCTTTCGCATCTAGTATCTGCCAAAGATCAGTAGCAGTGGAATAGTAAACTTTGTAGAAGGCAATTCTACATAGTATTACTTTGAGATTTTCTAACAGTAACATTACAAAATAGCCAAGCCAATTATTTCTGCTGAGGAACAACACATCTGCAAATCATGGGGCACTGGTGAAGAGAAACTTCAATACAGAAGCTTTAAGAACATATTTATAGAAAATAATGTTAAAGACAGTCAGAAATACCTTTCTTTTATGCAAATTTCATAGAATATGAATCCCTCCCAGTCCAAACTTGTGTACACTAAGGATTCTACTCTATTAATTACTTCCACTTAAGTATAGCTAGCCAAACTTATGCTGTGCTCTATGCACATAGCCTCTAGGCAAAACAAAGTCTGCTTTGGGATATACATTTACTAAATGCATGAAAGATTTAACAAACTCTGTTTCTAGAAATCCAGAAATGCAGAATTCCAGAGCTGGAAACATAAGATAAGACCCTGGAAGATGCAGTGGATATGGCCAAAAAAATGTTAACGCTAACAAAGTGCTGCTATAACACATTTTTTGTTGGGCAACAAGTTGAAAGCACTTTAACACAGATGACATTCACCAGGCAGTCACAGTCACCCACACAAAGAGAAGACTATTTTGTTGTTGTTTTTGGAATATCTGATGAGGTATGTTAGGCAACGGTTTTACTTCAGCACTAAGTTATGGCCACGCTGACAGCCAAGTCACATACACTTACCTTGAAGCAAGAATAAATGGGAAGGATAAAAACATTGTGGCACTTGATGGCTGTTGTTCGAAAGACAGGCTGTTGTCTAGAAACACATTTCATGTTCACTCTTCTACCTTGAAAGAAAGGCTAAAGTGTATTCACTGCTATTAATGAAGAACTAAGAAGCAGGCATGCTCATCACATCAAAAAAAGCTTTGTAAGGCAAACTAGTGGTAGGTTAGCCCCAAACCAGTCCTTTATGAACTTCACCAGATAAGCAACTGGCTTCTCTCTGCTCCTATTACGGAATATTCCCTGCAATTTCAGTTATGAAAACTACTAGACCTCAAAAACCAGAAGGTAGTGGGATCCGCCTCCCTCATGCGAGCACTTTCCCAGTGTTAATCCCACAACAGCAACACCCTTTTCTTACAGCAAGGTTCGGCTCTTGTGAACTCTACCCTGGGGAGGGCAGGCAAGGAGAAGGGCGATGCTACGGCTGCAGCCCACAAGCAGCGTGATGCCACACACCTGCACAACTGCAACCAGTAATCCCCTTCTTATTGTTGTTTGAGGTTCTGAGTGGAGTGGCCTGGTTAATTCACAGCCTGATTTCGAATACTCCTCAATACATTGCTGTGCTCACTGACCTCTCCACTTGCTCACGAGCCCGCTGCCTCTGAAGGTGACATGGTCCAGTTTCGGTCATGGCGATACCAAGGATACAGACCCTGCTCCTTCTGCTCCGCCTTCCCCCAGCACAGCTCATTCCAGTCCTCGTCTTGAAACGATCTGGAAATCCCCAAACGGTTGCTGGTCTCCTGCTGAAACGGCGGTACCTGTCAAAACACAAACCTGGGCTTTTCCTCATCCTGTTGTCTTCTACTCTTCACATAGAACGGAAATCTCGAACAGGTACTGGTACAGGCTAGCAACAGGAGACTATCTGACTTTAGGATTACCCCACTGAAGGGAACTAAGCTGGACAGTCACCTACAACTCACTGGGAACCGATCTGTCAAGAGGAGGGACTCTGGAAAACCACGGTGTCTTGCAGGGATCCAAGACTGGAGGTGATCAAAGAATCACCAACGAAAGAAACTGTAAAATCCTAAGAGGGCAGGAAAAATCCACTTAATCCCTGCAGGAAGGTGGATTTGTCTGTATCAAATCCTCACTAAAACATTAAGGATCTGACTTGCCTAAACAAGAGGGATTGCCAAGGAGATCAAATCAAGGAGATCTTTGGCATTTCTTCCCCAATTTCAACACTTTAACCGCCAATTAAAATCAATGCTTTTCTGTCCATGCGATCAACTGTGCCACTGGGCTGTAAACTGAGGGTTTCTACCCTGTCAGGCCTCAAGTCAGCTGCAGGGGGATGCTGTCCAAACGGGATGGGGCCGCGAGAAGAGGTGGCCAGAACCGAGGAAAGGAGATGGTTGTGACAGAGGGATCAATCTCTGTGTGCATCTAATCAAGACTCAAGGGGAGTGCCTGCACTTTCTAATTACAACACTTGATGAGCTTAATGTTCAGGATTCAGTAATAGGACCTTTTGGTAGGAATCTAAAGGATAGCCCCTTAAAAGAAAAAAGCAAAACATCTTCTCTACAGCTACTTCTACACCCCTGTCCCTCCTTTATTGTCAACTTGTTTTGGGTAAACGTTAGGTATTTCTGGAGAGTACAACACTGCTCTATGATTATAAAGTGAATTTCTGATAGAAGTAGACCTTTGTAGAAAAAAAAAAAAAAATATTATCCAAGTAGTATCTCCCTTTGCTTTAATTTCCTACCCCTAGCTTTAAGTCCCACCTGTGTTTCCCTTGCATTCAGAGATGCTGAGTAAAGACATGTCATGAGTATTTAGAGGAGGAAGGTGGAAAGCTGCAACAAGCTGAAGACAAAATCAAGGGGGAAGACATTTTGCTGGTGTCTGTGAAAACCAGAACTTGGTGAGCCACCGTCCTTCTTTCAGAGGAACAAAAAGCCACCTTCAGTACTCACCTCTAGCTAGTAAATAATACACCAGAACCCATCCATTTTACCTCACAGAATAAAAAAAAACAAAGGTGACTTGTTTATATCATTGTACTGTCCTTGTGCTAACACTTTTCCTGGTACTAGAACTTACCTTTAGTAACCTGTATGCAGAAATGTATCTTCAAATCTGTATCACCACGTATGTCAGAGTGTTTTAAAAGTTCACAATCATACCAATACAAAACACTCAAGCCACCTGACTTCTCATTTGTATAATTTGTCGTGAACTTCTGTGTGAATTAGATATGTGCACGGCAGAACAAATACAGCCCCTCTGCACCCACAAAAGCTCAGTTTGCACAGACGGTCACTGCAAGCGAGCAGATACACTCGGCAGGCAGCTCTCCATAGCTGCACGTGCTCCTGCTGCCCTTCTGTATTTTCAGAATCTGATCCTGTAAGCCTACCCATCTCCTCAGATGAACACCCACCTTTCTTCATAAGCACACATTTACGCTAGCTGGCATTCCTGTGTTTTCTGATGCCTGTAGTAAGATACCCCATAACTGCCAACTGATTTTTTTTTTAATCTGTTTTCACACAAATTAATTTGAGTTTCAAATGCCTGACTGACCTGTGGAGCTGCCTCAGGAGAAAAACAAAGGGTGGCCATGGAATTTCCACACACAGAAGCAATATTTGAAAAGGCAGCTCTACTTGTTTTGCCCATACTGCAGTGATTTCTTGAACTCCCAACTACCAGAAGAACTTAAAAAGTTAATAAACCACAAACAGCCATTTCCTATGGTTTTCCACTCACGAGGCTGAGATAGGAAAGCAAATATTTAAGGAATAATGACAGAAAGCATACGTTTTTAAGATTACTGTAAAAACCATAGAAGTAGATGTAAGATAATAAACAAGGTTATATCATTCTGTATTTTCAAGAAAGCAGCTATTCATGAAGTACGGAGGCAAGAAGGAGAGTGTATTTTATTCCTCCCCTCATGGGGCTTTTAAATATACACAACGTATCGCAAGCTCTGGGAATTTTCAAAAAGAATAACGCAGCACATAAGCAGTAATAACATTCAGAGCCTCTGAATATTTCCCTAGCTCATCTCCAAGCACACATTCCAGTGTAAAGATCCGTGCTTTGAGCTTCATTCAGAAGACACACAGAATGCTGAGGCACTTTGTGCAGCTATTATCTGAAAAGTCTGACCTCGCAACAAATGACACTATAGAAGAAAGCTAAATTATCAAAACTTTATTTCAGCATTGTATGCTCAACAGGGTGTTTTGCATATCTGACTAAGCAGCCAATTTGCTGCTAGGTAAGCAGAGAATTTCTGATCCTGTTTGTACAATGCTAAACTCCAGCACACAAGAGGGTGAACTGTGAATATTCTGTAAAGCCCATTTGATTCCATCACTATTTTTGCAAGAGCATTTCTGTAAAGGAAAAGGGCTTCCATTTACTCAAACGTAAATGTTGCTTAAACAGAAAGGGGAATACATGATCCGTGTGAAGAAAAAAACAAACATATAGGGCCTAGCCAGCCTATTTCTTTTGAAGTGAAGTCTTTTTATGCTTAGCAGATGACAAATCCTTTTTGGTATATTCAATATTTAATATCCACCACTTAGTCCTAGGTTTTGCTTTTGTCATATTTAAAAGAAAAGAAAATAACATATCTTTTTCCAAGACCTGGAAGAGTAGGGCTGCACTCAATATGGACAGTGATTAGTAACAAGAAACCCTTCCTCTCTTTTTCTAGCCAGATCTTTTCTGTCCCCTCTCGCTATTTTTTCAGTTTGAAAATCTTTGTAAGATTTTACTGGGTCCAATGCTGGCAGAGTTTGCTCCTCACCCATTGCAGCACTCTGGGATTGCGTGGATGTCAAGGATGGATTTCAGACACTTGGCCCACTGACTCACTCTTCAAAGTACCATCTGACATGCTTGCACTTCTTTCTGTCGTCTCTAAGGTTCAAGATTCAGCAATGAAACCGGGATCCCTCACCTTGGAAGTGACACCCAGGATGAAATATGTCAGGAAAGTTAGTAAAAATATAATTGTTCTTGTTAGCAAAGAGCAAGTCCAGAGAGTAACAGCTAAGACCATCTTTGTAACAGATCTCATCAAATGCACAGGCACTTCACAAAAATAAAGGCTGAAAAGGGATAAAATCTCTCCCTCTACCTACCTAAGGGATAAATATCAGACAAGCAATACTATTTGATCTAACAGATATTGTGACCACAAAGATACAGCCAAACCACCATGAAAAAATCAGATGGCTTATATCCACCAGAGCCTTTTGAACAGCTTCAGCATCTTTTCCAGTTCTGTTTCCAGTTCAAGGCCATGCAACTTCCTCCTGCTGATCACACTTCCCCCTAGGGATAGTTTTTCATTGACATATTGGCCATCCAGAGACCCTTGCTGAAGAAAAAACTGCAGCTACTATTACTGCCACTTCAATCACATAAATACTGGATGGAAAGAACGAGCTAAATAACTCTACATAGAAGAATCTAATGGTTGCAGAGAAATTACAAGGTGAACATGAGTCAACAGCGTTTATTTATTTTGACAGCAGCGCTGCACTTTATGGGGATCAAAGACAAATATAACCCAGGTCTCAGCTGGTGTACAGCACCCAGCTTTGGAATGCTGTGCCTTAAAGAGGTGTACCTAATGCACACTGTCTGTATACAGAAAGCCAGTAAGAATGATCAGATGTTCAGCAAACAACTTACAAGGAAGGGCCCAAGAAACAGAGGAGACTGGCCTGACAAAAAGACCACAAAGTCTGTGAGTACTTTAACTAAAGTTTAAAAAAACAAAACAAACGGAAAATACCTTTTTTTCTGTTCATGGCCTGTACAAGAAGAAATGGGCTTATGCTGCAGCAAGGAAGATTCAGGTTAGATGTTACAACTAGCAAGGTTGGCAAGGTACTGGAGCAAAATACTGGGGAGCTGCAACGTCAGTATTACTTACCTCCAAGCTCAGCCCACATAACTATCTGTTAGGAAGAAAGTTATGTGTAGCTGACCCTACCCTGAAAGGAAGTATGGACTAGGCCTTCCATACTTATGAGTCAGTGTTTGATTATTTCATATTCTATCATTATTTATTTGTTTTACTATAATGCCTATAAAGTCTAGCCACTGACTCGTGCCAAGTCCTGGCATAGGATAAACATGTGACGAGTTCCACACTGGGCTCAAAAGAAGAAATGCAAGAGGCAGGAGTAGCACAGACAGGTAGGGAGGCCCAAAGAATCAGCAAGACAGCACTGACAGTCCCAACAGCCTGTCTACAGATAACTCTGAAGACTTCTGCAATCATAGTAAAGGAAAATTAAGGGTTGTTTAGAAGAAGAGGTTGTTTATGGGATACTCCTCCCTGTATGAAAATAATGGTTTCAAATGCAACAGGCAGACAAGGGAGGCTGGCATGCTGCATCAAGAGAAACCGGTGGCTGAGTAAGGTGAGGTGATGAGAAAGAAGGCAGTGCAGGGTTTGAGATAAGGCAAAATACTTCCTATTGAAAGTAAGAGAGCAGAGCACAAGAAAAGGATGAAATATCAAACCACTATCCTGTACAAAGCCCTCCGCAGCAACGCTCTGTGTGGATGTAACACATGAAATTTGTCAGGTTAGAGAAAAAAAATACTGGAAAGAGTGATTAACTAGATGGTGAGATGTTGCATAAGTTTTTCGTGTGCAGATGACCAAGGACCTCATTATTTAAGATTTCATGTAGAAAGAAATACAGAAGTTTAACCAACCCGATGCAGAATCCGAGAAAATCTTATTTCAAAGATGATGCCCGATTTG